GTAGGTGAATATGATTCCGAGTTTAAAACGCACCCATGTCAGAGACGTACAAACTCGTAAGTTAAATTTTCTGCCATGACATACAATCTCTCTCCAGCTTCTCTGTGGGTTCTTTTTGCATTATGTTGGTAAATTAAAGTGAAAAACAACATTGCTGCAAAAACAAAAACTGTCCTGCCACCTCTGTCCTGTGGGTGGGTTTTCCTTCATGTGGCCTACCGCTGCTGACCTTTCCACAGTTTACGGCAGCTTGGAGAGCTGACACATTTAGCCTTTTCTGCCAGTCCCTCTCTGCTAGCCGCAGAATGGGGTCAAGGGCAGCTTTCCCTCCTCCACTGGCCACCCCCCATCGTCTCATCCCTTCATCCCCAAGAGAGAATCCATGCGCCAACAAGTAGAGCAATGAACTTTTCTGGGACAGTGACGGAGGGTGACTGAGCAGTTGGGACTGTATCCAGTGTGCGCTCGTGTAGTATGACATCCTAAAAGGTTTGCTTGCTGCACAAGTTGATCAGAATATGTTTCATGAGCAAGGGAATGAAAAAAAGAAAATCATAGTGCCTTTTGTTATTGTGTTTGTATAACATAGGGTATTATCTATTCATGAGGTTTTGAAGATTTCAGCGTAAGAGATGGGTTAGAAACTAGAAATAAAACAATAAGAGAATTGTATACTGAAAAAGAGAAAGGGAAAAATATTAAAATAGAAAATAAATCTACTCTTATATAAGGAGCGCAGCATGACTGCGTCAGAGGAGCACACAGTAATAATGCAGTACATATGGATGTCATATGTGTTTAGTGGCTGAGAGCACAGAGCTATTAATTAGAGATGTGTACCCAGGACCCTCGGGGCCACACTCAACAGGAAGTGATGTAATGTGGGTCACCAGTAATCCATTCTTCACAACTACTGACAAGTTTAATGAAATTAAATGGCTAACTATGAGTATAGTGTTAAGAAGAACAGGTGAAGATCTGCCCGTTTCCCTGAGGAATAAGTGTACTTGCTTCACAGTTTGTGTATTAATTTATAATGAGAACAAGTTCACTACTTCAGGCTTGTTCTGACACAGTGCATTAGTGTGATTTGATAGAGTGCGCTGCGAAAAACGTATCGCATATCTGAGGGAGGACAAGGCCAGAGCCACCTGTCTCCTGTGCTGCTGGGACACCCCACCTGGCCTGGAGTGGGGAGGGGGTCTTCATACTCGGCCTGTCACTGGAGACACGACAGCACAGGTGGCTCTCTGTCGAAAACACACTCACAGAGACAACATGTGCTGCGGTCTCAGGCTAAAAACACAGACATCCACGCTGCCACAAAAAAAAAAAGAAGCATAGACTCTGATCTCTAAAAAATTAGTAATGATTTTTGTACACATAAACAGTTTGCTGCTAACTTTAATAGACATAAGAAGCAGGGAGGGCATGTTATCTGGCATGATGAGAGCCCTGCGAGCATGCTGGCAACAAAAGACAGAGGCCTGTGGCCCGTGGGTGTTAGAATGTAAGCTAGGTCAATGTTTCAGCCTGGCACTCAAGCAATCCTCGCTTTCTCTTAGCACCGGACATGGTGCTAATTGTGCCCATGCAACCAGACCATGTGCGGCAAATACTCACACGCAAACAAAGTTCCATCACAAGAGAGTTAATGGCATGTTGGACATAGCAATGGCCTGCTTCTGACTTCCAATACCGCTCTTCCACCCATACACGACCGTAAAAGCAGTGAGCGACGCCAGTTTGTTATTGTTCATCCATATTTTATCAGGCTCCTATTTATAACTAGGCAGGATTGAGTTGAGGGCAAACAAGAAGTAGAGTGACAGAGAGAGCCAGTGATGGGTTTTTCTGAGGTTTTATCATGAAGTTAAAAGCCTAGAGAGTAAATAGTGATAAAAATGAATTACATGGAAACTGCGGCCACAAGAATAAGCTCATATATGAGCAACACGATTCAGCACCAGCACTGCCACATATACGAATACAAATATGAATGGTTCTTCAGCCGTTACACACAGAGAGAAAACACCTTTCAATGTGTGGATGTTACCCTAACTTATCTTAATCCTGGAACAATTTGATGAGTAAGCACACTCTTTCCCAGCAAAGCTCTACCTCATACAGTTGCACACAAATGCATTTAGGGAAGCTGCATAGTACAGCCTCTGTCTTCTGCCCGTTAGGCTGCTAATAGTTGCAGTTATACAGAAACCGACGGGTTTCTGTATAACTGCAACTATTAGCAACCTAATGCATTGCTCAGAAGCATATCTACAGCACTCACTCACACATTCACATCGATTTTTCATGACATTTCACATATCCAAGCTGATTCACTTTAAAGACACAAGATCTTTTCTCTGACCTAAAAGGCATACATGCATTTGGTAATTGGTATGCCCTCTTATATTGTTTAAAAATGTCACACTCATTTAGAATTTACTAGTACCACTTACAGGTTGTTGATAAAATGATGCAAACTGACTGACAGTAATAAAGTTCAGTAAAAAGTCTGATTGAATCATAACTCAGTCTTACACATCTTTAAAACCCTAAATGAAAACAGAAACTTCTGAGGAGATGAATTGGTAAGTATAGGTTGTAGTTAAAAAAAAAAACTCTAAGCCGTCATAGTGGTTGAACGATAAAGGCTACATCAATTTCAAAAGGTCAGCCTGAACCGTTCTCCCTCATCAGATTGAGAAATCATTACTCAAAATAATGTGAAAAAAAATAGCAGTTACTATAAAAAGGTCCTGTAAACGTCTACGTGGGAAACTAGAATCTAATTAGTTCTTCCCTGGATTTTTAGAATATTAGAAAGCAATCAAACGTTACCAAAATGTAATAAAATGCAGAATGAAAACCGTAAAAAGTACAGTTGGAAACAAATACAACTCTTAAATTAAAAATTGTCATCTTTCCCTATGAGGAGCCTGATGAGAGTGAACGCCTACGTTGATCAATTTCTCCATCCCTGCTGGTTTAACTGTAAATAAACAGAAAATCAATATATCCCTTATTGTATCTATTATTATTATTATATAGATTAAAGACACAATTTGACACTATGACTTGTAGGAAGCCTGCACACAAGTGCAGTGATTTCAAACCTGATTATTGTCTTTATTTAAACTACGTGACCACACAGGGCCATTATACTGTCCATGTCTCTGATGTGAAGCTTCATTGTCATCAATAAAGACAGTGAAGGTATCCATTAGCCACACCTGAACTCTTTGCAACTATCTTTTGAATTTGCGGGATAGCCTTCATGTGTGTGTAACACATCTCTGTCATGCAGATTATGTCTAAGTGAGTGAATCAGTGTAGGTTTTACTGGCAGGCAAAATAAGGAACATATTTGTGCTTTCTGTTCATACACTTTATTTTAGTTTGGTGGCTATGTGCCTTTGTGAATGTAATAGAGCATGTACTATCTTATCTGTCTAGTAGTATTACATCCTGGTCAATACACTGTGTTAGGATGTTAGCCCGTTAGCATGTTGTCATGTTGAACCAGAAGGATTTGTAGGGTATGTATACTGTCTTAAACCGACTCTATTATGAGCTCCTGCAGTTTGCTTTGTGGCTTTTATTCGGTGGTACACGGTCTATAATGAAGGAGTGAAAAAGCACATTTACCCTGAGTTCGTCTCTCTCAGCCTCCCAGCGGTATTTCTCGGCCTGGAAACGTCCCCATTCGAACTGGATGAAGTGCAGGATCCCAGGAAGCGACATACCCGAGTCACCGTCCTGCAGTTCTCGTGTTTGCGACGACCCAGGCATACCCCCGGCTGCTGCTGCTGCTGCTGCCGCTGCTGCTGCCGCCGCCGCCGCTGCTGCTGCCATCGCCCCGTTCGCTGCAGCTGATGTCGACTGGCTCGGTGCTGCCTTGGGCCCGTTTGGGTTGCGCCCCGCTCCGCTGCTGCTGCCGCCGCCTCCGGAGTTCGGGTTTGGTCCTCCGCCGGATCTGTCCGCCTCCATTTTAACCGTTCAACCTCTCGCCAGGATAAGGAGGTGGAAACGGACAGAGTGTGCCAACTAATGTAATAAAATAATACCTGGAACCTCCCAAGCTAGCAGCACTTCACTAAAAAGCGACCCTCTTTTCTTCCTTTTTCTCACGCGCACAGAGCAAAAAAAAAAAAAAATTACTATTCAGGTGGTAAATACTACACTTCCGTTTCCGGACCTTCAACATAAAACTCAGTCGCGCTAAACATTTTTAAACAGATTGGCCTGTTCATTCAACAAAACTCAATTTTCTGCATCATTTTGCACTTGGATTCGTTTGATTTGTTTACACATTAATGTGACTTTAATATGTCTATCAGTCAAAATAAGCATCTTTGTAATATAGCAATGAGTAAGGTATTTTTACCTGCTTTTTATAACATAACAATGAGTAAGGTCTTTTTACCTGCTCTTTTGTAATGTGTCTCGAGATAACACTTGTTATGAGTTGACGCTATACAAATAAAAATTGGTTGATTGACTGACTGATTGATTGATTTTACCGATTTTTTTTTTTCGGCTCTTATTTTGTCTTTTACCTGCTTTTTTGTAATATAACAATAAGTAAGGTCTTTTACCTGCTTTTTGTAACATAGCAATAAGTAAGGTCTTTTTACCTGCTTTTTATAACATAACAATGAGTAAGGTCTTTTACCTGCTTTTTGTAACATAACAATGAGTAAGGTCTTTTTACCTGCTCTTTTGTAATGTTAACAGACAAAGAGTAAGGTATTTTACCTGCTTTTTGTAAAGTGTCTCGAGATAACACTTGTTATGAGTTGACGCTATACAAATAAAAATTGGTTGATTGACTGACTGACTGATTGATTGATTTTACCGATTTGTTTTTCGGCTCTTATTTTGTATATCCCGGATCTGTTTCCCTCCTCTTGTGTTTGCTGGAAAAGCCCAGTGTGGGTGACAAATAAAGGTCCATGTTTGCTGTAATACACAAACATGTCGATAGGGAAGTTCATTTCCTGCCATTTTGTCAGCAGGGATGATGGACGACAGTAAAGGAATATACACCAGTGTTTGGAACTGAAAATAATCGCCATGATATAGAGTGACCGTGATTTTAATAGGTAGATCATTTGTTTCTGGGTTTAGTCTGTGCTGCTTCTGCGAGGGTTATGCATACTTGATGACTAGATCCTTAGATATAATTCGGGTTATATGAAGTCAGATTGTATGCTGTACTTACGTATTTTATTTTATATCCAGGCTTCTCTGAACTGGGGGGTCGTGCTGACTGCTGACGGTCTCGACTCCGGGCTCCCTCCTGGATGCAGTCTGACAGTCTGCATTGAGTAATACTGTACCCTTCTGAGTACCCGAACTATTCCTTGGACATGCAGTTCTTTAGTTCAATTGATTGAACAATTCATTTGTGCATACCACCAGAGTTTTGACGCAGGTCTCTAATTGGGCTTGCGGAAAACTCGTTTCCATAACAAAGCTTCACAAAATATTATGAATTATTTTCAAAACTTACACCACAAAGTTGACCATGTTTACAAGTATGAATGAAACGACTCTGTGGGAGCGCAAATCATTTCCAAATTATGTAACACGTCGTTGAAAAAAAATTCTTGGAAGGTTTTATTTTGAAAATTGTCCTTTTGTTTCGAAGGGCCTTAACCGGATGTCTTTCTGTTTGTTGCTGCGGGCAACAAGGACGGCAGCGTGATAGCTTGATGGTGAATTCGTACAGTTTGGGTAAATAAATAGTCGAGCTTGTGATAAGCTAAATACTAATAACATATATTCTGATGCGATTTGTGTGGATTAAGCCGTGGATTTCTTCATAAAATGTTGAAACCCGATTTCAAACAAAACCGCACACATATAGGAATACAATATAGACTAAACCGTGTTTTTCTCATACCGATTTAGTCAGATTTGCTTCCGTTCTAGTGCAGCTTGCTGTGATTGACCACCATGAAAACAAAGTACATTACAACAAGGTTAATGAGCTTAACGTTGCTGAAGCTTGTCATTTTATGGCTAATGCATGATATTACAGACTGTACCATGCTGATGGTTGTGTCATGAGGAATCAGACGGAAGTCCAAGGTGAGCTGTGCACTTTACTTGACCACACAACCATTTAAATGATTCATAATGCTGCTTGCTATGTGCCTTTAATTCAAACCTTGCACGGAGATATGCTTTGTTTTCTTGGTGTTGTATTAAAAGTCATGTTTTGTGTTTTGTTATTTAATGACTTGTGAAAGAGGGGCAGATTAAATAAGATTATTTTTCATTCAAGATTTGAGATTATGTTTGTATACTGGTTTTGTTTGTCGATGATTGAAATATTGAAATAAACTTACAAATAAAATAAAATAACAAATTGTCATGGATTGGATAAATCAGTGCATTGTTAGTTATTTAAATCAAAGTAGGCTTTTTAAAGTAGCATAGAATTGCAGTCTAGGTGTTTTTATGTTTTGAACATTTGAGATTTTGATCTTGTGTTTCTCTCTCTCTCTCTCTCTCTCTCTCTTTCTCTTTCACAGTTTGTCCATACCTAATTTCTCCACTGTAGCACCAGTACAGATCTAAGCCTAACAAATTTATTCCTTTATTGAAACTGAACATTTTCTCCAGGGAGAAACTGGAAGGTTAGCATTGGTTGCCATGCGTATCAGTCTCTGTCAGGGCCTGTTAACTGGCGCCATCGTCCTCAACCTCCTCATCCTCTACTATGTATCCAGAGCACAACAGCAAATGATGGAAAAGAGGAAGGAACTTGGCAGGGGTACAAGGAGGGCTGCCCTACCAGCCTCTGGTCTAGGGGGAGGCCTTGGGGCTCTAGTTGGAGCTGGAGGTGAGCGTGGAGGGATAGGAGTTGAGGGGCACAGTCGCAGCCCGCGTGTCACAGTTCTTCTTCGGGAGTTTGAACACTTTGAGAATTATGTTGGGGACGTGGCTAATTCTTTCCTCCGCCAGAGACCTGAGATTCCATTTTTGGCTGTTGCCGACACAAATCCGTACCCTCCCCTGGCACTTCCGGAGGGGGTGCGGCTCTTAGTGCTTTCCCCGAGCCCAGAGCAGCCGCCTCAAGCTCACAGGCCAGAGTTCCACGTTCAGACTGAGTTCGTGCTGTTGGTGCCTGATGGGGCGGAGTTGGAGCAACCGCGGTCTATAGAGAGGCTGATCAGGGAACTCGAAGGTGAGGGTGGGGGACCTGTGAGGTTGGTTGCTGCACCTGTGCTCGCTCGATCTGCCGTGCAATGCCTCCACCTGCGGGTGAATCTCAGAGAGTGGACAGCCACCTACTCCCCTGCTGCGTCTGGGAGCAGCGGAAGTGTGTGCACGGCTTTGCAAGGAGATGCGATCATCCTCATTCGCACTGAGGATCTTTTTAACCTCTCGGTGCCTCTGGGGCGGCCCCTTTTCTCCTCGCTTTTCGTCCAAACTGCCCTGAGAGGCTGGAAGGTGAAGCTGCTGGAGAGCCCCTGTTTCTCTGCAAACCACCGTCCACTCTTCAGCTCCGCTCACAACCAGTGGAAGGCTGACACTCGGCTCAAGGAGGCAACTGGAAAGCTCATGAGGAGCTTCGGTTTGAAGCGCCTCCTTCTGCCTGATGGGAAGGAACAGTGGTATGGCTGCAGTAAAGAGACATCACGTTGCTTTGGCACAGTGCAAGATGACACTCCAGACTACCTTTATCTGGATCGCTGGACGCCGCCCTGCTGCCTGCGAGGTCTGAGAGAAACTGCCAAGTATGTCATCAACATCCTGGAGACCTCAGGTGTACGCTACTGGCTCGAGGGTGGGACTCTGCTTGGTGCTGTCCGCCATCAGGACATCATCCCCTGGGATTATGATGTAGATTTAGGCATCTACCTGGAGGATATACCCAACTGTGATCACCTGAAAAGCCTGGACTCGGGCTCCCTCGTAGATGCTAATGGCTATGTGTGGGAGCGTGCAGTGGAAGGAGATTTCTACAGAGTCCAGTACAGCGAGGCCAACCACCTGCACGTTGATCTGTGGCCGTTCTATGCACGCAACGGCGTCATGACCAAAGACACATGGATCGAGCACAAGCAAGACGTGGAGTTCCCGGAACACTTCCTGCAGCCGCTGGTGCCAATGACGTTTGCCGGCGTCACTGCCTTCGCCCCCAACAACCACAGAGCCTTCTTGGAGCTCAAGTTTGGAGAGGGAGTTATTGAGAACCCTCAGTATCCTAACCCTATGAAAAAAAGGCTGGACAGAAGCAAATTATGAGCCGCATGATAGAGACTCAGAAACTTTTAAACTTCATACTGACTTTGTTTACCAAACAACACAGATTTTTACCTGAACTTGTTTTTCTCTTTTTTTTCTGAGGAACTGCCTAAAAAAGTTGCGTAAAATCTAATGAGGTCTAATATAATAAGATTTATAACTGAGATGATTCATTTTACCAAAATATCTGTATGCTAGTGCGTCTCCATCATGCATCTATATCAATCAAAGACTGGTTAAGGTACGAGTGTGCTCAATCTGCAAGTGTTCTACAGAGGGGTATAATGACTTCTTTAAATTATATAGACCTTCAAATGATTCTTGTTACAAGCTGCCGTGTACATGACCTTAAGCAGGATTTAAGGTTTTGTGCAAAATTATTTAAAATGATGTGGTTTCGCACAAATGTCTTTGAATGTTACATTCATTCTATCAGTTTTTGCACAGTATATTAATGAATTCATTATTTGTACACTAATTTGGTCCCTGGCAGCTGTAATAATGTGAGTAATCTCCACATGGGGAAATGAGAAACACACTGTGGTACTCTTTGTTATTGTTCGCATAAGGACAGGCTGAAATGTTGCTCTACTGCGCCTTAGTATTCAGTTAGAAACATAAAACTATGACTGAATGTGTAAATTGATATTTACCCTCTGTGCAATCACATATATATATATATATATATAACTACTGAGCGACCATGATGTATTTATTGGAATAGAATTTAAATTAAGCACCAGCGCCTCTAGGTCCGACATGTTTCCTGTAATGTTCTTACTTGTGCGTGATGTATCAAGATGTCACTCCATCTCATGAACTGGTTAAATAAAGAAGTGGATACAGATTATGGTAGTAATTTGATTGGAGAACTGTGGGAGAATGAGTAGAATCTGTTGTAAAAAAAAGACGGTAATGTACAATACAGGTTGTAACTTTTTTTTAACACTAGGTGGCACAAGACACCCAGTTAGTCTCAGCTGAGTCCATGCTGTCAAATGCAGTTTGTGGGTTCGGCCATATGGCAAGAACCCAGAGGGGGGGGAGGACTTTATGACAGGACACAGGAATTTAGCTTCACAGTAATGCAGCTTGCTTGTTGAGGATAACCTCCCCCCCTCCCCCCCCTCCTCCCCCCAGTGATGTGAAATAGGTTTCTCATTCAATCCATGCAGAAATGCAGAAGTTCCTCTGCATGTTTAAGCTACCTTTCACCTGTTGGTGCAGCATGTATCACAATCTTAATGCTGTTTGTTTTTTCTCTTAGCCTTAGGAATATCCTTGTTCATGAATGGCCTGGTAATTAGATAAGCATCAAGATACAATTCAAACAAGTGGTTATTTTCGGATGCAAGAACACTGAGGGCCTCAGTGCATTTTAAATATGTCTCCCCTCTTACATGTGACGAAATCTGAAGATGACTGACTGCAACATAATGTATCTACACACGCAGCCACAAGCGCTTCTGACTTTGACTGCAGCGCTGCATTTAAGTCTTAAACAGAACAAAAAGTAACAGACATGTATAATAAAAAAGGCCTTTATTTTTTAAATCCTCTGGACAGTATATTCAGAGTGCAACCGTGTTTGTTGAAACAGAGCTCCACTTTAATAACATTGTTACAGCTACCATATGCAGACGACACACACACACACACTATGATCAAACCAGATAGACATCCAAATGGTGAAAGATCTCAGAGGAATGTTGACATCTTGTACCGAAAAGGCATTCAGAGGAATCTGCAGCACTGCCGCCGTTTGGAGGATATTATTCACCCTTTTTGCATGGTCTCATAACATAAAACTGTGAAAGTGATTAAGCACACATTGATTTCATTTATTACCATCATGGGAAATAGTGCAGATCTAGCACAAAATAAAGATGGCAAAGAATATAAATTTGAACGCACTGAAAAGATAATAAATGTTCATGTATTTCTTTTGACCCCAGTTGTATGGTGGAGTTTAAAGCTTTAAACGTGATATGGATGGAAGATATAAACATTCTGTAGTGCAACTGTACAGTTCATGTTACAATAAACGCATATGATGCATTTGAGAATAGGATCGCTTTAGATACAGTCAATACAACTCATCACACACATTCTCCAGGGTGTGTGTGGTTTCCTAAACTAAAGAAAAATCACCAAATTGAAGCACCTGGCACCAAGAAGCCTACAGTAGACTCAGACCCAAAAGACACAAATAAGAGCAAGACCCAAAATGAACATAGAAATAATAAAAATTAAAATAAAATAAAAAAAACGCATTCACCAAGCAGTTAGCACATGAAGACTGAAAAAAAATGGAGTTGCTTACATGTTGAAACATTGGCTTGACAAAATCTTTGGATTCTGATTAGGGAAATAAATATGATTAACTACAAACATTAATCGGATAGGTCAACTATGACACAAGGCCTAAAGCCCATACAACTAGAATTTCATGATTCTGGCCTTCACAGCAAGAACATTAAAAGGTTTAAGTTGTAACATTTTATACCCCACACATCACTTTACAGATGAAATAAGTCTCCTTGCTGCGACAGACTGTGCCTTTCATACCCATCTGTGCTTTTTTTTTTTTCTGTGATGCTGGGACCTACACAGTGTATCAACACGAGTCAAATATCTCCCTGGAAATGTCATTCAATTCTAACAGGAGTTCAACGGTGTCCTTTCTTTGTGCAGAGATGATGTGATTTTTTTTTGGTCTCAGAATATTAAGGAGCAGTCTTCAAGCCATAGTTAAACCTGAGGTTATGATCCACGTGAAGAGGCACAAACGCTGCGAGGTCGGTCTGTGTTCATGCATATTTTGAATCCCTGGGGAAAAGTTCCTTCATTCAAGCCTTGGGACGTTATTGACATTAGAAAAGTGTGCTTTAGAGTATAAATACAATCTTGAGAACCGGTAACAACTATAATGCTATTCCTCATAATGAGGCATTGTAGAGAAGGACATTGACATGGAGTAACAGCAGATTCAATAACAGACTGATAAAAGCTCTAAAAAAAAAACTGAAGGAAATATATAATATAGGAAATATTGTCGTGCTTTTTATCATAAGCCACATTTCGCTCAGGCCAAGGAGTCAGCACAAAGTCTGGGCCTCTTTTTAAAGGACTAAACGGTCTTCCAGTCTTTTGTTGTCTGAGTTTCTAGTTAGGTCTAAAAACCAACGAAGACTTTGAAAATAGGCTGAGATGTCAAAAGCCAAACCTGGACTCTACGGATTAGAAATTTACAGCGCCGCAAAGCCCAACCAGACCCTGGTTACAGGTGGAAGAATTGCTCTGAATTCCCGGAGAAAAGTGTTCAGCCATAGACACATCATCATAGCCAGTTTCATTCATACACATTATAATCAAACTGATGTCTGATCATATTGAAGATCTATAGTTCAAAAACATTAGATATAATGTGCATGAAAGTGCCCAAAATCATGTGTAATGACAATTTATATAATCTGAAAAGATTGATTAAAAAATAAAGTGACAAACATTTTGAAGTTTTTGGGTAACAGAGGGAAAATATGGAAATTTCTTGCTAACAGACCGAGCTCAGCAGCTCAAAGTAGGTCTAAAGTTTTAAATTAACAGGAAAACTGGCCGAATGGTGAAGACCAGAGCTTCACTTAATAAGACCTGATAGGATTGGAAGTGTACACACACAAGTAACAGAGTGCCACAGATGAATATGACCATATATCTTAAATTTCCTCAATATATTTCAATGCAACATCACTTCTGCTTGTAACCCATCCAACATTATTGCTTATTTTAACTGGTCTAGTCATCAACTGGACATCAAAGTGGATGTACACACACACACACACAACAATAAATTGAGTTTTTACATGATACAATTCTGACATTAAAAATTGATGAGGACGCACTTTGATTAAAGACAGCAGCCTTTCAATGTTCTAATTCCTCAAAACGGAAGAAAAAGTTACTGCATAAAATATGGATTTTAATTGCCCCCCCCCCCCCAGTTCTTATTGCCCTCATCCCAGGAAAGGTTTGAAGAAAGATTGTTTGTTTGCACAGTTCTTAAAATGTCTATACTCATCGTCTCTCACAGACCCTTTCCATCAGGGCTGAGAAAGAGGGTAAAAAAAAAGGTGGCCTGTACCTCAGGTTGTGGCTGATAGGAGTGTCAAATAAGTGAGAGGATTGTTGTTGATGTTGTCAGCAGCTGGATTACATGACAGACTCGGACAGGACTGTCTTTGGAGCGTCTGCACTGTCATGTCCACCTCGCTTCTCAATAAGGGGGGAGTGCTCAGGGGCAGCGGCTGATGGTTCCCCCTCCAGCCGGACGTCGCTCAGCTCTGTTCCTTCTTCTTGTTTTGAAGTGCGGTCCACAAAGAACTGCAGGAGCCCGGCTCCAAAGGCATCGCCCTCTACATTCAGCACTGTGCAGGTACGGTCACTGCGGGACAACAAATTTACATTTACTGTTAAGATATTTAACAAACGTGTTAGTACTGATCTCAAAGAGTCATTGAGCAGTAAGATGTACACCCCAAGTCTCATAGCAGCAGTTTTATACTTGCACAGCAGCTGTAATAATCAAAGTAGAATGTTTAGTCTCCGTTGAACACAAAGTTAGCTTATGTTACTGAAATGTATCAACAGTTTCTGCACTTCCAACTTTTATCAGGAGCTTTAAAGGGAGTTCAGTGCCCTGAGGAGTACCTCTTAGGAGCACTTCTTTATCCAAATAAAATTCATGTTTTGTTAAAACCTTTGTAATTCAAGGCCTTTTTGGAAATGTTATTGGGAGAATTTACCACACAATATTCACATTCTCCATCAATTTCCTTGACAATAAAAAACACAATTTCATATCAATTCTATGATAATTTTTTTTTTTTTAATACCTTAGTAGTGAAGTCTTTCAATGATTAACAGACTTTTTGTGATCATGAAATCAAATGTCTGATTTCATGATCACAAAAAGTCTGTTAATCATTGAAAGACTTCACTACTAAGGTACTGCATATGGATGGAAATTGTGGAAGTGTAGATGTCAGGGAAAATAGTCATTTTGGACTCAATAATTGGAAAATTACAATTACTGTGATGATCTATATCCATATTAAACACATGAATTGTACTCACACAAGCCAGTCAACAGCGAGGATGAGAGAGATGTCATTGGTTGGCAGACCTACTGCCTCCAGGATGATTGCGAGAGTCAACACGCCTCCAGCAGGTATACCTGCAGCTCCTACACTGGAGGCTGTTGCTGTAACACTAAAACATTCAGAGGGAAGATGTCACAGTTCAAAATTAAACATTGTACTTTCTGTTTTACAAAAAGGACCTAGACCTAGTTGTGTAACTGCGGACGTGTTTCAGTAGCTAAGTGACTCACAGGATGGTAATGACTTGGATGAAGTTAAGAGAAACGTTGTTCAGCTGAGCGATGAAAACCGCAGCCACACACTGGAAGAGAGCGGCTCCGTCCATGTTGACTGTTGCTCCGATGGGAAGGATGAAGCGGCTGATGTGCTTGGATACGCCGTTATTTTCCTCCACGCACTTCATCATCAGGGGCAGAGTGGCAGAGCTGAGAAACAGGGAAAAAGAAATATGTGAGCATATTGAAGTGAAAGGTATGCACATTTTTGTTTGCAGAGAGGAAAGTGTGTGATTTAGAACAGCAGAACCTCAGTATTTGATATTTAACAAGCAGGGAGAACAAACATTTGTGTATCTGGGAGACGCAGCGAGTTGACTACCTGGAGCTCGTTCCGAAGGCTGTAGCCAGAGCAGTGAAAATCCCCCAGAGGAAGGTGTACGGGTTCTTCCTTGTAATAATGAAGTAGATAG